TGGTAAGATTCTTGAAATAAGAAAAAATTGAGTCAAATCAAGTATTTCAAGAATCTTACCAAGACAAATAATCTTACACATTGTGAAAACAAGATGATTATTCTTACACAATCAGTTCTTGTTTAGTAAATCAGTCTGAAAACAAGATCAAAAAGACTTTTTGGCTGATATAAGATTATAAAACTTGGTTAGGTGGACAGTTTTTGCAGTGTACCACATCAAATCCTAACTGATATCTGTAAAACTGACCAGCGATGTCAGAAAATATCGAGTCACTGAATTATTGTAATATTTAATTTCCTGATCCTGCATCGATTCTTAAAAGCGTTGTTTTAAATTGAGCCTTAATGGATGGATGTAAAACTGAGTCGTGGCTTTGATCAGTTATAACTGCACATGCAGTAAGACAACAATAAGATGTTAACGAGGTCATTTTTATCTTTATTGTCTAAAAAATAAACAAAAACCCAACAGCAGCACAGAGACTGGTGACTGTGTAAAATCACCACCTATGTAATTAATGTGTGTGTTTGCCTCGACAGATAGCTTGAAGCAGGACCAAAAAAAGAAAAGTAAAGGAAGTGACATGGCGTCCTCACAGGTGCGCCTGAGGATGTTCCCCGGCGTCCGCTGCCTGTTTGATAAAGCCACGCAGATCAAAGTGGAAGGCCTCGCCCCCAACAGAACCGTCCAGCTGAGATCCAAACTGGTTGATGACAGAGGGGTGACGTTCAGGGCGCGGGCCCTGTACACAGCCGATCAGAGCGGCCAGGTGGACGTGGGCAGCTCRGCCTCCCTGGGAGGAAGCTACGCGGGCGTGGAGCCCATGGGTTTGTTCTGGGCCATGGCGCCTGACGCTCCGCACAGTAAACTCCTGAAGAAGAGCGTGCTCAGCCCAGCGCTGGTGGAGTTGGAAGTAATCAGCGAGGAGAGCGGTGAGCTGCTAGCTTCTGAAACAAACCAGAGAGAATACCTGACGGCAGGTATGAAGAGAYTACCTGTGGAGGAAGGCAACATAAGAGGGGTCCTCTTCATCCCACCAGGTTGGCTGTGAACAGGAAGTATAGTTTAGTAACATGTATTTAACCTTCACTCATGATGTGTTTTTTCTTCAGGAGACGGCCCGTTTCCTGGAGTTATAGACTTGTACACGTTAGGAGGAGGTCTTTCTGAGCCCAGAGCCAGCCTGTTGGCCAGTAAAGGTTATGTGGTGCTGGCGCTGGCCTACTACGGCTACAAGGGTTTACCTAAAAACCCTCAGAACCTGGATCTGCAGTACTTTGAAGAGGCTGTGAGCTATCTGAAGAAACGACCAGAGGTTAGTGCTAACGATGCTTTAAATCAGTGGGTCAGGACCCTAAAACATCAAGGTGGGTTCTTGTGAGTTACATTTAAAAATGACTTTTAACAAAACTTTCAGCTCCTTCAGGACATTTCAGCTGTGATTTTCAGTTTGTCAACAYTTTATGTTTGTTCAGCTGTTTAGCWTTTTTTCTGATTGAAAATGAATGAAGCTTCTTCATCATCCTGAAAACTCCTCATAATGTTTTTAGTTCATGTTTATTGCCATTTGCAGTAAAAAAAAAACTACATTGGAAAACAGTTGCAAGAGCTCAAATTGAAAAAATAAAAGCTTATAAAATAAAATTTAAAAAGTTACAAAAAAGTTAAAAACACTGAACACAGAACCCCTCATCTGGAACAGACAGAGTTTCACAGAATACGTTTCATTACGTTAATGTGAATTATTCAACTCTTTAGCTTGTTCTGCTTCTATTCAGCTGATTTTAGCTGTTTTTTCTTTTATTTTTTAGCTGTTCTGACCTTTTTTGTTATTCTTCAACATATTCTGCTAAATCTTTCTTTGGTTCCTTTCAATATTTTTCTGCCCTCTTCAGCTTTTTCCTCCCCTTTTAGCTACATTTCTACTCATTTTACTTTTTATCTGATATTTCTGCATTTTTCAGCTATTTTTTTATTAATATTTTAGATTTTGTTTTTACAGTTTGAGTTCTTCAAAATATTTCAGCTTCTTCAGCAGCTTTCAGCTCAACGATTCAGCAACAAATGTTCACACTGCTCTTTGCAGGAAATGCAGTTTCTCTAGTTGTTATTATTATTATTATTATTATTATTATTATTATTATTTGTTATAAATGGTTCATCTTTCACAGTGGGTCATTTATGAGTTGACAGTGAACACCCCAGGTGTGTGTTGGGAATCAGATTTTTTTCTGTGTTCCTGAATGCAACACGGCTCTGACTGGTGTGAAAGAGACGAGACGTTTTGAGCTTTAAATAAAAATAAAAATAACATTTTTTGGACAAATGTCTTTTATCTGTAACATATAATGCCACGAATCACTTAATGCCTAACCACAAGTGACTGAAGTGCGTCATTCATTCTTGTATTAAAATGAAATTAGTTCAAACTGTTAACTATCTASAGTCTTCATGGAAATGGTGCAATAATTATCCTGTGACCACGGGTTACATTTTTTAATCCAGTGCCATCAGACGGGCTCGTACAAAGCAGCAGTGTGTAATTAGTGTACTTAAAAATGTATAAAAGTAGCGTGATGGCACCAGTTGGTGCTCAGGTCTGCTGCTCTTATTTTCTGAGTCAAAAGCTGAACTGGTTGGGAACCATTATAATAATTTATTCCTCTCATAAATGCCTCATTTCATCTTATTTTCTATGTAAAACGAGGGTCACCTGTTAAAAGTTGCAACGTTTTAGTGATAAACGTATTGAAGTAAATGTTTCTTTAATGTGTCAGTGTTGCCATCTGCTGGATATTTATCACTGTTACAGTCATAATGTTTAAAGTTTTTAGATTTAACATCAGAATCAGAATACTTTAATGATCCTTGGGGGGAAATTGCAGTTATTACAGCTGCAACCGTTCAAGTAAGCATTCAGTTAACATAATGTACTGAGTTGTGTTTTAGTTTAAGATCAGTCAAGTTTGTGTTTTGATCCAAACTACAGGATAGGTCTTATTTGGAGCAAAGTTATTTACTGATCAAATTATTCTTCATTAGTCCCTCAGAGACACTGATTAGTCTCATCCAGGGCCGGCTTGTGCCGTAGGCAGTAAAGGCTAATGCTAACAGCGCCGTCCGTCTAGGAGGCGCCACTGAAATCTTACCTACAGCACTAAACTGGTCTCATTGTTTGTTGTGTTACAGTGATTTTAAACAGATGTGTAAATCTGTGCAGTAACCCAGAAGGATGTGTAGATGTTTTAGCAGGAAGTCAACACGCTGCTTGTTTACGCAGGTACCAGGTTGTGGCATCGGCATCATATCCATGTCACACAGTGGGGCTCTGGCTTTGTCCATGGCCTCCTTCTTCTCCGGGATCGCAGCAACCGTCTGCATCAACGCCTGCAACGCAAACACCGTCCTTCCTCTGCGCTACAAGGAGCAGGTTTTCCCTCCGCTCTCACCCGTCTTAAAGAACGTTAAAGTCACAGACGCCGGGCTCGTAGACATCCGCGACGTCTTACCGGACCCCTCCCTGGACAGGAACAAGGCGTCTCTGATCCCGGTGGAACGATCCAGCTGCCAGTTTCTGTTCGCCGCCTCCGAGGACGACCACAACTGGAACAGCGTGTTTTTCGCCGAGCAGGCTGCGGGAACGCTCCGAGCCCACGGCAAACAGTCGTTTCAGCTGGTCACCTACCCGAAGGCCGGCCACTTCCTGGAAGTCCCTTACGTGCCTCATTGTCCGTCTGGGTTTCATGCAGCTGTGGGAAGGGATGTGGTGTTTGGTGGGGAGCCAAAGGCCCACTCTGAGGCTCAGCTGGATCTGTGGGAAAGAGTCCAGCWCTTCTTCAAGAGTCACTTGGTCGACCAGAGTGCTGCTATTTAAAGCCTCAAACACCCCTACTGCTCATTAACAATCAGCTTAATATGTTCCTGAGCTTCACTGAAGGTCACTGAATTATTAAATTACTTTGGATGAGGTTTCTACAAGTGGAGACTTTGACTTTTCATTTTTGTAGAAGAAATTAATCATCAATCTTACAATTATTTAAATCTGTTCATCTAACTCAAAAAAAATTATATTTTCCTTAATATTTCCTGCAGAAGGTCAGAAATAAGAGGAGAGAAGCAGAATTTATTTTAACTCTCCCAGGTTGTTTTTCATGCTGCTCACATTTTATTTTATTTATTAAACCGTTATTTATGTTTTTTAAGTGCCAAACACAAACCTGCGTTTTTGGTGAAATCATCTGATACTGTAATTGTTTGGTTTAAAAAGTCACGCGTTGTTGTGTTTTAGAAATATTTTTACTAACAGTTGTATGAGAACTTGATTTTTACTATATTTAAGAACATTTTCACATTGTGATTTTAAACGAGTTCTGTTATCAGTTGATTGAAAACTTATATTAGCAGACTGGTTATTTTTACTGCGATGGGATCCTTTATTGTTCCACCTGCAGTTTATTAAATAATAGTTGAGTTGCTTTTATTGCTGCAGTAATTAGACTTAAAGAATTGTAATGAGGTCATTAAAAGACATTTTAAATGGTCTTTTCTTTAATGTTCTGATTGTGTATCAGATCAACCTAATTTATTATTTCTCCTCTGGTGGTTTTTGAGATGGACCAGAGACCTCCTCCTGAAATAAACTCTTAGAACCACAACGATGCTTCATCAGAACCAGTAACTCATTAACACAAACTGTTTCTTCAGTTGGACAATGTAAGAAATTTTCTTTCATTTTTTTTACACTCATGCACATTTTTATTTTTACTTGTGCATATGTCATGCATCTGCAAAGTTTTTGCATATTTGCATGTTTTTAACAAGTGGCAGTTGCATGTAGCATTTAGTTTTTGTGTGTTTATTCACAGTGAACCTCCTGCACCAAGCACCAGGACAAACTGCTTTACAACAATAAACCTGCTTCTGATTTACGGCTTTCTTTAGGTTCACAGTAAAAAAGAAAAACAAACTCTTAAACTAATGTGACAAATACATTTTTTTGTTCAGTAAAAGTGTAAGTGAGTTGTGTTTTGTGTTCCAGAGGTARGGCCTGTCCTGCCTGTGGTATTTTCATCAGAGCGCAGAGGAATGTGACGAGCTCCTGTCAGAGGACAGGCTGAGCAGAACAACAGCTGCTGTGTTCAAATGGATCCTTAAATTCTGATCACATTCATCCAACAGGACTGTTCTCCTCTTCTCTTCAGTTTTTAACACATTTTAATTAAAAACACTCAACAAATAGAGCGCTTTGACTCTAATTATTCAGTCAGAACATTTCTACTGTTTCTGTTTAATGTCCTCAGATCGTTGTTTCTGGGTCCACTTCAACATCCAGCACCTGCTCTGTTTTGTTTTCTTCTGCTGCTTCTGTTTTGCTCATTTTGACCGTTTTAGCTAATTAGTTCTTGGCAGCTGTTTGGCTAATTTTAGCTTTTAGCTACTGTTTGCTAATGTTAACGTTTAGCTAGGTTTGTTAATTTTTGTTCTGTTGTTTTTAACAATTCATACGGGCTGCTGTTTGTAAAGTTACACAGTCAGAAATTACCACCAATATTTTTGTTTTATTTAACCTTTTATAAGAAAAAAAGAACAGATTTATTTTTCAAAGTCAGTTTTTCACCATATGATTCATACATTTATAAATGTCATAGTTTA